TCTGGTTTGGCCAATGTACGTGGCAGAGGGGCATTGCTGGCACATGATGGCATTTATCACATTGGTAGATGTGCAGGTGAACGAGCCCCTGATGGCGTGGCTAATGTGATTAGGTCCAATGATGGTGTCACTTGAAGAAATATGTGGACAGAGTTGGCATCGGGCTTTGTTGCAAGCATAGGTTCCTGGGTTAGTGTTTTTGTTGTGTGGTGTGTGGTTGCTGGGGAGTATTTGCTTCAGGTTGGGGGACTGTCTGTAAGTGAGGTCTGGTCTGTCTCCCAAGATCTGTGAGAGTGAGGGATCATTTTTCAGGATAGGTTGTAAATCTGTGATGATGCGCTGGAGAGGTTTTAGTTGGGGGCTGAAGGTGACAGCTAGTGGCGTTTTGTTATTTTCTTTGTTAGGCTTGTCCTGTAGTAGGTGACTTCTGGGCAGAGGTGAAAGTAAGCTGGTACGCCCCTGTATGGCGTACCGGTAAGAGCTGGTGCGCCGTACCAGGACCGGCTTTCCGAGAGGGCAATTTAAAGCCCTGGGGTAGCAGCAGTGGGAGCCCCGGGGCCCTTTAAATCCCCAATGTAGCCCAGCCACCGCTACCCCAGGGCTCGGGCAGCAGGGCTCAGGCGGGGATTTAAAGGGCTCGGGGATTTAAGGCCCTGCCTCTTCCGGTTGAGGCCATGCCCCCTGCTCAGGACTCCGGCGTACCGGTAAGTCCTCTAACTTACTTTCACCCCTGCTTCTGGGTATTCTTCTGGCTCTGTCAATCTGTTTTTTCACTTCAGCAGGTGGGTATTGTAGTTTTAAGAATACTTGATAGAGATCTTGTAGGTGTCTGTCTCTGTCTGAGGGATTGGAGCAAATGCAGTTGTATCGTAGAGCTTGGCTGTGGACAATGGATCTTGTGGTGTGTCTTGGATGGAAGCTGGAGGCATGCAGGTAAGTATAACGGTCAGTAGGTTTCCGGTATAGGGTGGTGTTTATGTGACCATCGCTTATTAGCACTGTAGTGTCCAGGAAGTGGATCTTGTAGTTTTTCCCACACTACAAGAAGGATGTGTATAAATTGGTAAGAGTCCAGCGAAGGGCAACAAAAATGATTAAGGGTCTGGAACACATGACTTATGAGGAGAGGCTGAGGGAACTGGGATTGTTTAGTCTGCAGAAGAGAAGAATGAGGGGGGATTTGATAGCTGCTTTCAACTACCTGAGAGGTGGTTCCAGAGAGGATGGTTCTAGACTATTCTCAGTGGTGGAAGAGGACAGGACAAGGAGTAATGGTCTCAAGTTGCAGTGGGGGAGGTTTAGGTTGGATATTAGGAAAAACTTTTTCACTAGGAGAGTGGTGAAACACTGGAATGCGTTGCCTAGGGAGGTGGTGGAATCTCCTTCCTTAGAAGTTTTTAAGGTCAGACTGGACAAAGCCCTGGCTGGGATGATTTAATTGGGGATTGGTCCTGCTTTTGAGCAGGGGGTTGGACTAGATGACCTCCTGAGGTCCCTTCCAACCCTGATATTCTATGATTCTCTTGTGTGGACTGGTCCAGGCTGAGGTTGATGGTGGGATGGAAATTGTTGAAATCATGGTGGAATTCCTCAAGGGCTTCTTTTCCATGGGTCTAGATGATGAAGATGTCATCAATGTAGCGCAAGTAGAGCAGGGGGATTAGGGGATGAGAGCTGAGGAAGCGTTGTTCTAAGTCAGCCATAAAAATGTTGGCATACTGTGGGGCCATGCGAGTACCCATAGCAGTGCCGCTGATTTGAAGGTATACATTGTCCCCAAATGTGAAACAGTGATGGGTGAGGACAAAGTCACAAAGTTCAGCCACCAGGTTTGCTGTGACATTATCGGGGATACAGTTCCTGACGGCTTGTAGTCCATCTTTGTGTGGAATGTTGGGGTAGAGGGCTTCTACATCCATAGTGGCCAGGATGGTGTTTTCAGGAAGATCACCGATGGATTGTAGTTTCCTCAGGAAGTCAGTGGTGTCTCGAAGATAGCTGGGAGTGCTGGTAGCGTAGGGCGTGATGAGGGAGTCTACATAGCCAGACAATCCTGCTGTCAGGGTGCCAAAGCCGGAGATGATGGGGTGTCCAGGATTTCCAGGTTTATGGAACTTGGGTAGCAGATAGAATACTCCTGATCGGAGATCTAGGGGTGTTTCTGTGCGGATTTGTTCTTGTGCTTTTTTTTTATTCAAAATGTCTTTCAGGGCAGACCCGGGGTAACCCCTGGGGATCTGTCTTAGTTTAGTGTCTCTGGCCCTGTGAGAATTCGAATAGCAAAAAGATGAAAGATTTTCTTGTGACCTATTTTATCTTTTACATTTAGTCAATGAGATTACTTTCAGTCAATGAGATGAACTCACATTGCACATAGCATTTCCAAGGTGCGATAGGGCCATTCACCAATCCTTTGTCTTGTGATGTTCCTTAATAGCCTGTTTAATTTTGATAGGCCTCCTTAATGAGTGGAGGGGAGGATTTTCTTGCTTGGGTTCACAAGTTCAGAGCAAACATTTTAAAAGTTATAAAGCAAAACATACATGTTTCCTTATAGTACGGAATACAGACATTACAAGTGAGATTAATGCATGCAGCAACTTACAATCATTTCATAGAGTCTAAACACTAAATAAAGTCTTATTAGACTAATAACTATTTGGAACAAAATTAACAAACAGCTGAGCTGGTTTGGTTTCCAGCTATGAGTCTGTGTCACAGGGTCCCGGGCGCAACCTGGACTGTGGGATCACTGAGGCCCCCAAACCCACCAACCTGGCTGCCTGTCACAATGTGATGCTGATGTCAAGCTACAAGCTTCTGAAAGGTAGGGACACATTCGACTGAGTTCCATGAATGATCTCCCAGATGCTCATGAACCATCAATAGAGAAGCTCCAGCCAATTTCCCCCAGTGCACAGTTTTGCACCCCAGAACTGTACCGTCTTACATTGCTCAAGGTTCCCTTGGGCAGTGCAAGTTCATTAAACAATTTGCCACTCCCTCAGTGTGGAATGGACATACACTAGCCTTCATAATCTGAGCTGAGATTTCCCAAGCACTTCTAACAAAACATGCTGTTTTAGGTAAAATATAAAACAGATTTATTAACTACAGAAAGACAGATTTTAAGTGATTATAAGTGGTAGGCACAGAGATCAAAGTTGGTTACTTAAGAAATAAAAATAAATCAGCAGTCTAAATTTTACAGACTAAGCAGGATTTGAATCAAGCAGTGTCTCACCTTGACAGATGATGCAAGCAGGTTAAGGTTCCTCAATACACAGGCTAAGACTACCTTCCAGCCTGGGACCAAACTTCCCCAGTTCGAAGTCTTTGTCTTTCCAAAAAGAACAAGGAGTACTTGTGGCACCTTAGAGACTAACAAATTTATTTGGGCATAAGCTTTCGTGGGCTAAAACCCGCGTCATCAGATGCATCCAGGTGTTGATATGGGGGAGAGGCCAAGTGATGATGTCACTGTCTCTCTTTTTATTCCTTCTTCCAGCTGCTAGAAAAATCCTTGCTGTGATGTGGGGGTCAGTCAGTCTCCATTGGTCAAGCAGTACATACCTTCTTTAAGGAGCCTCTCGGATAGTGGTTTCTTTTTTTGACTGGCCATCAGCACTGTCTGGCCCTCCTTTGTTGTAACTGAAAGGCTGGCTGTGGGTGTTTCCCAACCTCACAACATATTTCAGTAGCACATATAGCAATACTTCATAACTTCACATACAACACTACATACAATGCAACAGGATATTAATGTTCAACAGATCAAGACTTTTAAAATGATGCCTCACAAGGCATAGTTTGTACAAAACATATCATAATCATATCTCAGTGGCAAAAATGGAGGTTCCAGGGTGTTTCTTTGAAGTACCGAGTGTCAACAGTCTGTCAGTGCTCAGCTGATGCCTACAGACTTGACAAGAGATGGCATCAGGTTTACCAGTGTCACGGGGGTTCTGGTCTCTCTGAGTGGAAGTGCGTACAGTAGATGCTCATTAGTAGCAACATACCTGTGCCCTTTTGCTATGTTGCACTCTACATTTTAAACATATGCTCTGTTCTGCATTTGTAGTCTGCTACCATATTGTATCAAGAACTAAAAGTATCGAGTTTTATTTTTATGTTTTAAGAACAATCAGACATCAACTATGACAACAAACAAAACCTCTTGCTCTTATTTGTAAACATTTTTGTACTTGTGCTTAACTATAATACTTTGTATGCACTGTAAGTTGCCCTGGATAAGGGTACCTGCTAAGCAAATAAATAATAATACTGTAATAACCTAAATTAATTATTCCATATCAAAGGGTATTCTATTTATACAGTAAATATGTATCAGCTGTGGGAGGTGGGTGGCGGTGGCTGTGGTGGGTCTGGCTGTGAAGGTGGGTGGTAGTGACTTCAAGTGGTCCAGCTGTGGGTGTGGGTTGCCTGGCTATGGGGGTGGGTTTCTGGCAGCAGAGGTCCTGGCTGTGGGGTCTGGCTGTTGGGATGGCAGCTGGGGGGGATGGTGGTGGTGGTGCATCTATGGGGGTCTCTGGAGGTGGTGGTGGGCTTGGCTGTGAGGGTGGGTCTCTGGCGGCGCGGGGGCTGACTGTGAGTGTGGTGGTGCGGGGCTTGGCTGTGAGGGTGGGTCTCTGCTTGGCAGCAGGGGTCCCGGCTACGGGGGCGGGTCTCTGGTGCCGGCGGGGGGGTGCTGACTGAGGGGGGGGGTCTCTGGCAGTGGGGGAGCCTGGCTCTGGGGGTGGGTCTCTGGCGGCGGGGCGAGGGTCCTGGTTTGAGTGATCTCTGGCGCGCGGGGAGGCCCGGCTATGGGGGGGGTCCTGCGTTCGGGGGATCCCTGGCGCGCGGCGCCCTGGCTGTGCAGCCGGGCCATATCCGGGGTTGCAGGGACGGACGCTGTTCCGCACCCCGCCGCAGGAGGTGCCAGGCCCAGCCGGTTGCTTGGCAACGGCCTCTCTCCCCGCCCTTGCGCCTCGGGGGTGCGTGCGGCGGGCGGGGCCGCTCGTGACCTCACTTCCCAGGGCCGGGCGGACTCCGCGCGCTGGCGGTGGTATGGAGCAGGGTCTCTCCGCTATCACCCTGTACTGCGCCTCCCCAGCCGGGACCGCATCCCCCGTTGCCCCCGGCGCTATGGAACAGGAGCAGGTGAGACCGGCTTCCCCAGGAGCTTAGGCACCGGCTGAGCCCTCATTCCCCGCCCCGCACAAGGGAGGGGCTGGCCGGGCCGGGCCCGGCCCGGCCACCTAACACCACCCCTGGGGGGGACTGGCCGGACCCTGTTCTCTGTTCTTCCGAGGGCCAGTGAGGCAGCTGCTGCTCGCCACAGAGGCTGCCCGGCCCCTAGGGGAGCAAAGGCGGGTGGCGTGGGTCCGTAGCCACAGCCAGGGGCCTGGGAGTCAGGACTCCTGGGTTCTTTTTCCAGCGCTTCCTGTGTGTGGTCCTCAGCAAATCACCTTTCCACGGCTCCATGGCCCGCCTGTCCCACCACAGGGTAGTGATTCCCTGCCCCGCAGGGCTGGCGTGGGAGCGGAGGTCGTCAATGTTTGTAAAGTGCTTGGAGAGTCTTGGATAGAAGATGCTACATAACTGCACATTTTTTGTTTATTTTGATGGTAATAAAATAATAACCTCCCAAGCCCTAGACGTTACTTGCCTCTTCCTGTGGCTTAACACAGTTGTCAAATATATATAGACACAACATTGTTTTACCTTGTAATGTATAGCTTGAAGATCCTTTCCTATGGCTTTTCCTTCCACCTTTAGAAAATTGGACCTCTTCCATAAATGATTGCTTCAATAACTTCATGATTGATTTGAAATATGGCTGTCCACTCTTGTCAAGGCTTATTTGAAACCCTACAGGGGATGGCTCTGTAGAGTTTAATAGGTGATGGCAAGTGGTTCCTCGCAAGTGGTTGGTAGGGTTGGATTGTGGGCAAAATATGTCTCTTGGATTTTGATTTAAGTGTGAGAAGCTCAGTATTTCTCCTAGCTTACATTTTGTTTTCTTGCTTGCCAAAGCAGCGCAACAGTTTACTACAATGCATGTCATGCTTTTGCTTCCTCCCCCCCCCCCCCCAAAAAAAAAATAGAACTTTAATTTGTTTTCACTCCATTTAGGTTGTGAACAAAGACTTTTTTCTGGGAAAACTAGCTAAACAGTGTAACTGGGTGGGGGTATGCAAGTGAAGTCAATGTAGTTTTTGGCTTTGGTATAATAATGACTGGCTGGTGGGATAGTGTTATCTTGTCAATTTTTTTTTAATCTCTTTCAACAGGGGGCAGCAGCATTGTGGAGGTGGTGGCCCCAAGTGATACCTGATTCACAGGCCTTATCTTGCAAGCCCTCCAACATAGAATTCCCAGTGAATTCATTAAGAGTTCTGCACATGGAAGATTTTGCAGAATCCAGGCTCATGAGTAGCACTGGGGAAATTGGAAGCTTACTAGGTCTTCACCTGTCTCAGGTTTTATACTAGAATATTAATTGCTTCATTTTGTTCAGAGGGGACAGTGCTCCCTTTTTTTAAACACTTCAGACATCTGCACTGGCCCAGATTTCTTGTGTTTCTCTCAGTAAATAACGCCTGTTACAAATGAGTTTGATAAATTTTAAATTAAGACAGGTTTCAGCTTTCAGCAGGTTGTGGTGCTAACTTGGCAAGTGTATTGAGATATAGCCATCTTACATATAAAGGACATTACTTCTTAAAAATAGTCGTTAACCCGACAAATTTTCTTACCTCTGCTACTAGTGACATCTGAGATGACCAAAAGTGAACATTTACGCCCCCCCAAAGAAACCTAATATGCTCTTTTACTACTCCATGCTTTGTTTACTTTTTGCATTTCAGAGTTTCACTTTTATAGCCAGCCACTAGCTGTTTTCAGTTCTTGTGTTTTGATGGTTGCTGCCCTCAGTAGAAAACTTATTAAATTCAGTTGAAATGTTAAAAAAGATGCAAACCTCCCCCCAAAAACCCAACAACAAAAGAAAATAGGATCAATAAAGGCATTAGAAGGTAGTGTGTATGGAAATATTTCTCACTAAAGCCTGCCAACTTTTTCAGTGTTCCTTTAAGCTTCCTGATCTTTATTTCACTCTCATTTTAGATCTTTTGTCCTATACTGAGGCTTGTGTAGGTTGACAAGTTTTACCTGAAACAAAGTAAGGACATTCTTTGGTACAGAATTTTTGAGGACTTCTGATCTGAACAAGTGATGAGGCTGATGGATTGAAAAGATTTAATGCACAGCCCTGGTTTACATATTACTTTTTTCTGTTGGCATTTTTCTTTAAATGTGTGAATTGAGTACATGTGAAACTGAGGAGGCCTTGTAGCACTGTCTTAGGTCAGTCATACTATAGCAGGTGCCATGGTGGCTTACTTGCAGCTCTGTTAAAGCACCCAAGTCTTCTATTATTATATATGTGTTCCAGTAACACCTAGGAGCCAGTCACGGATCCTGACCTATTGTGCTAGGCACTGTACAAGCCCAGAACAAAAAGCCCTGCCTAGGGTGACCAGATGTCCCGATTTTATAGGGACAGTCCCGATTTTGGGGTCTTTTTCTTATAGTCTTCTATTACCCACCATCCCATCCTGATTTTTCACACTTGCTGTCTGGTCACCCTATCCCTGCTGCAAATAGCTTACAATCTAGTATAAGACAGATGGATACAGACACAAGGAAACAATGAGATTGTATTGGTCAGCATAATAGGCAGCAGTTTCAGTGTGTCAGGAGCCTAACCATTGTCAAGATTTGTGCAGGTGTCATATTAAAGGAGGGATTTGAAAGAGCACAATGAAGTAGCTTCATAGATGTTTACAAGAAGCTGCTCCCAATTTTGTGGGATAGCATGGGAGAGAGCACAAAGATACTTGTTTGCAAACAAGTAAGGTGGAGAAGGCTGATGGAGCAGAGACAGGAGTTGACATCTTAATAAAGCATATGATAGATGATGGGGGCGGGAATAGGTTGAGAAGGGCCTTGAAGCTGAAGACAAATGCTGTGATTTGATGGAGAAGGGGGAGCCAGTGGTTGGATGCAGAGAGTGAGGTGATATGGTCAAAGTGATGAGCTGGGAGAATGATCTTTGCCTTAGCATTCTGAATGGATATGAGTGGGGGAGGATTGCATTTGTCAAGGCTGGAGCAGAGGTCATTATAGTGATCCAGACACAAGATGATGTGAGCTTGGGTGAGAGTTTTAGCTGTGTGGATGCATAGGAAGGGGTATATGTTGAAGATCACAAGCACAAAGAATTGCCAAGTCTTTATTGCTTCTGCTATTCTGTTCTTGGGCTACTGTTCTTAGCAAACTGCTGGTTGTGTGATGCTTTTATGAAGTGCACGAATGAGATGAGACTACTAAATTAATTTTTGCTTGTGATCCAATTTAAGATTTGAGCTCAGGTATGCCAGTGGAAAAGCTAGTGTAATAATCCACTGGTATATTTAGCCCCTTCAAGGTGTACTAATTTAGTCTGAGTCACACTTCCCAAGTTCTTAAATTGTTTAGATACTGATTTCTTTGAGCTATGAACCTCTTAAGAATGGAATTTGAATAACACTAAAAGCAAACTACTGTGTTAATTAAATGTTAAGATTGTAGGATTTTTACTTTATAGATGTAGCAGTGCACAATGCTACATACATACATTTAAGGGTAGTGGAAAAGTGGAATTTAAACATAATAAATATCGAATCATTACAGTTTTACTGTAGGAGTAGCACAGACAAGTGCAGTTCCATTATTATAATTTCTATGGTGTATTGCATTGTCATTGTGTGGATATGTAACAAAGAGCTCTATTGTAATACATATACACAGGAGTTACAGTAAAGGCTACTGTGGAAACTATCTTAGAATTTACTGACTTCTATAATTTAATGCAATGTTAAGGTTTAGATCAGGGGTGGGAAAACTACGGCCCCGGGGGCAGCATCCGGCCCTCCAGATATTTTAATCTGGCCCTCGAGCTCCCGCTGGGGAGCAGGGTCCGGGGCTTGCCCTGCTCCGGCATGCCAGCTGGGAGCGGCGTTGGGGGCTGGCCCCACTCTGCATGGCTCCTGGAAGCAGCAGCATGTCCCCCCTCTGGCTCCTATGTGTATGTTACCCAAAATTGGGTCAGCTAGTAAGCTTAGGGAGGATTAATGACCCACCAGTGTTTGGCAGAAAGCAGCACGTTTATTATACTGATAGCTAAGCCTCAAAAGAAGGGGTGGGAGAGGGTCTCATGCTCACAGACGCAGACTCACGCTCCCAGGACAGGCATGGCACTGGAGATGTCAGGATCCTTTAAGGTAAGTGTCCCACAGCACAACGATGGACGGTGCGATGAAAGTAAGTCTTCCTGGGGCACAATGGCAAACCACTGGCCAGGCGGTCTGGGCGAAGGGCCTTCACAGGAGGTACAGGCTTGTGAGTGCACTCCTGAGCACATGGCCCCTTCCCCTTTTAAGGACCTGCTCCTCATGGCCTGCTACTAGATGTGACTTGGCCGTGTCTGGTTGGTCACACTCCACCTTGGACAGTGTCCATGCATTGGGTGTGTGAGCGCTGCCTAATTAGTCCCAGACACCTTGTCTACCTGGGAGCTGTTCAAAAGTGGGGGGGCAGGGGGAGGAAGAGAGATAACAGACCTTTTGAACATACAGGTTATACATAGCATACAGATCACTGCTGCTTCTACAACAGTGTAGGGGCAGCCAGGGGGCTTCATATGCTGCCCTTGCCCCAAGTGCCTGAAGATAGGGCAGCGTACAGAGTCGCCTGGCTGTGCCTCCATGTAGGAGCTGGAGAGGGGACATGCTGCTGCTTTTAGGAGCTGCTTGAGGTAAGCGCCGCCCAGAGCCTGCACCCCGACCCCCTCCTGCACCCCAACCCCCTGCCCCAATTCCCCCTCCCACCCGCCAAACCCCTCAGACCCAGCCTGGAACACCCTCTTGCACCCTGAACTCCTCATTTCTGGTCCCACCCCAGAGCCTGCACCCTAACCCCCAGTTTTGTGAGCATTCATGGTCTGCCATACAATTTCCATACCCAGATGTGGCCCTTGGGCCAAAAAGTTTGCCCACCTCTGTTTTAGATGTTAAGGTAATCTTTTAACTTTAATTAAAAGAAGCCAAAATAGAAAA